CTCCCACATAATTTTCGGCCCTTCTTCATCGCTTAATAAATAAATACATATTTGCTCACTGTGAAGTACTGAAATTTGTATCAAAATCAAAGAGAACAATTTTATCAAGAACCGTCTAAATTCCATTTAATTGATAAATTCAACAATACTTACCGTTATCTTGATGATATTTTTTCGTTAAATAATCAAGAATTCTCTAACTATACTGCTGAAATTTACTTTAAATAAATCTAAAATCAATAGCAATAACTGTCCTTTCCTTGATTTAGATATTTCAGTATTACACCAGAAACTATACACAAAAATTTACGACAAAAGGATGATTTTCTTTCCCTATTGTTAATTTTCCCTTTTTGGACGGTGATGTTCCTTTTGCACCATCTTACGGTGTAGTTCAATTAACCTAAGTTGTATGCAAAATTTTACCAAAATCTATGACGTATAGCAGTTACTCTTTTACTATCCCTTGGCAATACAACTTTATTGGTTTGAGAATAACACAATTCCATTTGCCTAAAAATACGGACATTTAACGGACAACGCAATATATGCAAAGACAAGATAATAGATTGTATAATCATTTAGAAAACAAATTAACTGAATCAAACGCTGCGTAAAACACTTCTTAGGGGCAAAACTGAAAGACTTTTGAACAGCAAATGATAATAATTATAATAAGAATAATGATAAAAATGAAATGAAATAAAAGGTTATAGCACTGAAGACCAACAGACAGTGTTACTACCATTGTCACTAGTGTTCCGCCGACTCTTATTGTGAAAATCAATTTTAAAATCATATAATGCCTAGTTATATTATCTATCTATCTATACGCATACTGTTATGATTTTTAATAATCTTCTAAGCCATATAGTTCAGTACTTGTCCTTGGCGTAAGGATATAGTTCTTCGAACTGCAATGGTGAAATATAAAACTCTTCTCGTTTTACGTCAATCCAAAAGTTTTCTGTATCATGTTTAGATCTCGCTGATGGTTCCATGTACTGTTGGTCTTTAGGCAGAGTATGAAAATCAAACTTCGAAAAGTATGGTAAGTGTAAAAGATCAGGTTTGAAATGCTCCAGCATATAACACCAACATTTGGAACAACCGTTGCTGTAAGCGATCGGAATTTCTTCTCGTTTGTACCAAGCGGGATGACCTTCAAGTGCATCCAGTCGTTTCAACATTGGTTCATCTACGTCATACATTTCTCCGTGAATTATCTGCAAAGTAAAACAGTCTTTTGAATGCGACAACAATTACACGCAAAGAAACCTTCATCACTCACATCTAACCTGGTTCAGTTTATATTCCAATATAATCAGGAAAAGAATGAAAATTATCAGGATACTTCTAAGCGATCATAAAAGTATACGTTTCTTATAGTATTATAGGAAGTATTTATCTTATTCATTGTTACAGTAGATGGCTAGTCTTGTTTGATATGAGTTGTAGTCGTCAACTATAATTCTTCAATGGTACATGTGTAACATTTCCCTAAAGCTAAATTAATAAAAGAACAGAGTTCAAATGTCCCCCGCGTTGCACATATTTTATCTATTCAAGATACAAGGGCATTAACTAAAAAAGAGCACTTTTTTTTGTTCTATAAGACTTTTTATTAATATGTTAGGGAAATGAAGGCTTCATACCAAATGCAATGTGATTTCCATTATAATTAATATTTCCAAGGGGCATAACTCGTTAAAAATATTTGATCCGAACTTGTTTTCGAAAGCGTCAAAGACATTGCTGATATAAACCTATGATATAAGTTTCATAAAATTCTGGCAATAACTTAACATATGAGAGCGCTAACAACGCAATTTTCCATATATAATCAATACTTCCAAGGGGCATAACTCTTAAAAATTATTGATCTGCACTGATTTTCTACCTCATCAAAGACATTGATGATATTAACCTATAATACAAATTTCATAAAAATCTGCCAAGAATTGTGCATATTAGAGCCCTCATATGGCAATTTTCCATATGATTTATATTTTCAAGGGGCATAACTCTTTAAAAAAAAGTTTGATCAGCACTGATTTTCGAACTCGTCAAAGACATTGCTGATATAAACCTATGATATAAGTTTCACAAAAATCTGGCAAGAATTGTACAAATGAGAGCGATAACAAGAACGCCGTACGGACTGACGGACGGACGCCCGGTATTTCTATGTCACCCTCCAGCGCGTTCGCGGGGGACAAAAAAATGGCTGTCTACAGCCAGTTTAAGGTTTCTGCATTTTTACTAACTGTACATATAAACGGAAGCCATGTCGGTTGCTTAGCCAGTTCCATTATCCATAATCTTTTAAATGGCATTGACGCCTGAAATATTTTTCACTGTAATAAAGTTCAAACTAAAAGGGATAAGGTGGAAATGGCCAAAAAAATGTCTAACCTAACAGCCTTTTAAAATATTTTCATTTTTAGAGATGTCACGTTATGGAAGGGAGACGAGGTGATCACTGAATGAGAGGAAACCAAACAAGACCCCATATTAGTGAACCAAAGTAACATTTGAATGACCCGTGAAGTGCACTGAAAACAACACTCCCTATTAAAAGAATGACACCCCAAAAACACAAACTAGACGGACGCCCGAGAGACTGAATCGCTCATCTGGTGAAATATCATTCATTAAAATTACTAACAAAAGTGAAATGCAACAATCTTTCACACGTTGATACTATTCCAGGATAGATATATCTTGATCTATAGAAAATTTTATCCCTGTCAGTTTTTCTCTTAATACTGCTTTAGTTTTTTATTTTAGATTTATTAAAAAAATGTCAGTTTTATCCCGAAGTTGTATTTATTTCCTGTGGCGGCCATGTTTTCCATCCGACCGAAACAAAATGAGGATCGATGGTAGAAGACATCGCCTACATATATCATTAATTACTGCCAAGTGTCTAAACATTTGGCTGAGTAGTTTCAGAGAAGATTTTTGATAAACAAGTTTGCGACGGATAACGACGGATGCAAGTAATTTCATTAGCTCACTTGGCCTTGACCACTAGACTAACTCAGCTATATAAAATATAGCTTTCGTAAGTCGAGTAATGCCTTTCCTCGTTGACTTTGTCTAGGGTTGTAACATAGTACATGATGTATATTGCAAGTAGATAGTGTACCTTTAAGATCAGCTATGTTTTGTCTGTCTTAAAGATGATAATTTTACTTGCCATGTCGTCACATCAAATTTCAATTTATTATATACGTTTAAACATGTGACAACTTTACGACAGACGTTCTTCATCGGAAAATCCATGCCGTAATACAAGGCTAACACCATAATTTATATTTTCATTGTCTCAAGCAAAGAAATTTTCTTCAGTTAGTTTTTGTATCCTTTTTTTCTTGTCGCTTTAATATAAATGTTTTCTAGTTTTAAATACCGGTAGCTCCTTAATCGGTTATACAAATAATAAAGCAATATTTGCATGTGATGGTATTGTCGTCTTGTAGAAGTGATCCGAGATTTCTGGATTTGTATAATATATTAAACAATCAGACCCCAAGTATTAACTGGGGAATATTAATACGGGCATCTCTTGCATTCCTCAGTAAAACCCTTTCTAACGTTGGGCATTCGTTTGGTTGTATGGGTTGTATAAATACGCAGCCACGTAAAGTTGGAATGAGGACGTTAAATCCGATACCTTGTGAAGGGAGAGTGGTACACTTTCTGCAAGTTAAAACAAATCATTGCAACATTCTCTGAGAAGTCCGTAGTTGGGCTTTTAGAAAAAGTTTTACCCCTATTATACATATTTCCAGTGGCAGTGTAAAGTTCATATCCTTCATCTCAGTCCGTTGACCTTATCACAAAACCTACGTTTTGCAATCATCAATTGTTTATTTGCTCACGTCCTGAAAATGCATGAATTATTTGCCACTGAAAGTAAACCAAGCAACACCCAATCAATCAATCAAACAAACAATTTGGTATGCGTTTTATTATTGAATTGTCAGGCAAAATAAGACACAATTCGTTTTATTTCTTTGTCCATATTGTCTGTATTTTTGTGTATATCATCCCGCATTATACGAAGGCCCTTAAATGCACATATGTAGTGTTTTCGACATCTTTTAAAGAAGTCAGTAAATATAGTGCTGGGGACCATCTTGAACTTCCAGTGAGATGGGACCTTTTGCTCTGTGGTTAAGGCTTTACAACCACTTTTCTTTTGCATTAGATTTTGACAAGTGCTTGTATGCATTTTGTGTCATGGATTTAAAAAACATAATAAATCCCTTTATTCCATTTTATCGATTTCATTTTTTTTGGCAAAAATTACCAACATGCAGCAGCAGACAACATATTAATATCTTTCTTCCTTTTTGATATTGTAAATTTCTTATCTACATTTGTTTTTACTATCAAAATCTGCAGAAAAATTAAACTCCGTACTGTCAAAGATGCCTGCAACAATATTCTATTGCATATGCCGACAGTATATCAAAGAAGAAATAACAAAGTTATAAAAATAAGGAGATGTGATATGATTGCCAATGAGACAACTATCCACTACTTAATTTTTAGTAATTAAGACCACACCCTCATTTTCTAAAACTGGGTTAACACCGAAGGTATCATCAGTTTGATAGTTAGTGCTTTGTGGGTAAATTTAGAAAGTATAATGAAACTAAGGTTCCAGCTCTCTCGGTTGACCTTAGATGGATTTGGTTATTATTTTAGGACCCTTTTAGTCATGCACAAGTTCTTCATGTGTTTCGATACTTATACATCCTTGGCTTTCCAGTTTTTGGCTTTTAGCGTTCCTGATGGACGTTAATCCAGAAAAGCTCGTCGGAGGCATAACATTTATAAACTTGTTATTTTCATTTTGTAGTATTTGCATCGTTTAATATATACTTCCGTATCCAGTTAACCCTTCATGAATGCTAAGAGGCAATTGGTCAACTAACTAGGACTAATAAAGGAATAGGTGCATGTGTACGATATTTAATAGTTGGAAAATATTTAAGTTATCGTTTTTGAAATCCGGTCTTTTCTGCATTTTCTTCAAAGCTCACTGTCGGTGTAGTCCTTTCAGTTGACTAATTGTCAAGATCCTTGATGCAGGCCGTTACTATTTGAACAAAAATATCTGTTGGGTCTGTAAATAATCCCACGGGGTAAAAATCAAATTACTTCGAGGATCTTTTAATACTAGAATGTGTAACCCATAAGGAAACAAAGAAGCCATGGCTATACAAAAAAAGTCATTATGCATGCATTTGTTTTTATCTAATTATAAATTATAAGTCCAAGATATTTTCCGTATTTTCTATCATAAGATTTCTTGTACTTCGCTATAGTCATCATATTCTTCGTCTAGTTCCGGTAAATACGGTTTGTCATGTGGCCCTTCGGAATAGTAATTATCGATAAATGGAAGATCTAACAGGTTGCTTTTAAACATAATAAGGAAATAACATATACATTCAACTGATATGGCATTGTTTACCACAACTTTGATTGGACGACGATCGTATAAATTTGGATAATCTTCACAAATATCTAAACATTTCAACATGTCTTCATCAACTTCATATACCTCTCCATTTATATTCTGCAAAGAATAAAAATACTAAATTGCGGAGATAATCTAATTAAAGTATGGATCTCTGATTTCAATATGCTCATATCTTCTACCAGTACACGAGTTACGATAGATCTGAGTTTTAATCAGATTGGATATTAATATGACAGTATATATTTTTTTGTAGATTCAGCCGCTGAATAGTTTAGTATATATACAAGTACTATAACAGACAGGGACCACACTCACCCATGCCGGGTTTCTAACACACGGGGGAGGGGGGTTAGGGGAGGGTAGAGGGGTTTTGACGCCCCCTCCTGAATTTTTTTTTAAAGCTATTAAAGTCAAGATTCAGAATGAAGATTGCATATTTAAGTCAGAGCGTCGGACCCGTAATAACCCCTACCCCAGAGACATCCTGGATAAAGACCTGGTTTTAATTATCTGTTTGTGATATAATAGCCCAAATGAGACTGATATAATTTTACAGTGCACAAATCTTAATTTTTGATTTTGGAGAAAATATTCAACACTTAGAGTGAATTTGTAACAATAGTACAATAAAACAATAGTAACAATTTTGGGTAAGTGACTTTCCAGAAACTGCATGAATACGTTGCTCTCTTTGAAAACCTCCATCTTCCGAAATATCAATCTCATAAAACAATCAGGTTGGTACATTTTATGTTATCATTTGCACTTTGTAATATGTCCCCTATAAAAAATCCAAAATACCAAATATGCACATTAAATGTATATCCTATGTGGTTACACAACCACAGGGACTCGTTTAACGGATATATACACATATTAATGAAAAAACATAAAATGAGTCCCTATCATCACTTGTTTCCTGTAACTCAGGCGTCCGTACAGGACTCCCACAGTTTTAAAGAATGTATTCCGCCTCCCAAACATCAATATTGAAAAAATTTACCAGCGTATTGATTTGTGATAATTTGTATGACATCTTACTGATGAAGGATATTAGTTATCCGAAATATTTAATATTTGTTCATGATTTTACTAATTTTTTTTTTTGGTGATGTTGTATCATTTTAGACTTGATTATTATATATTATATTTTGCAGTGTACTGTATCATATCTATATGATCCATTGCCTCGTAAGATTTATCGTTGGCTATTATTCAGACATTATATATATATTTTAAATTGTAAGTTTTTTTCTCGTATTTTCTGTCTATTTGCATGATTTTTATACATTATTCAAATAGATAGGAAATACGAAAAACAAATAAAATTACGATTGTTGAATATATTGAGGTAAATTACATGGCCTTCCAAAAACTGTTTCGATTCCTAACATCACTGAAGAGACATTAATTGTCGAAATCCGGATATGGTGTACAAAAATCTTTGCACCTTTGTTTGCGGTATACCATCTTTGCCGCAAGTTTATTGTTTTCTGTTTGGTATTAAATTTTTAATAAAGATCCATTTATTACACCTTGTGATCCGTTTATTTGGCAATCGCCAATGGCAGTCAGCAGGGTTTAAGAACATTTGTTGTTCGACCTGTTAGTCAAATGCGTTTTGTTAAAATATACTTTTTCACTTTTTTGGTCTTTTGGAAAATGTTGTTTGTGCTGTATTTAGACCCCTCTAACAAGAAATTTGTGTTTGCATGCACACGTATAAAAATTGCAGTTTTTATCCAACGCAATCATAGGTTTGAACGTTGTTTTCAATTTAGACTTGTATATATATATATACAAGTCTATATATATATATATGCACAAGTCTAAATTGAAAACAAATTTCAAACCTATGATTGCGTTGGATAATCAAAGTGCTGGATAGCACCTGTGGAAAGTTTGCAACGGTAGATGTGTATTATTTCAAATAAGTTGTAGCTGTGTATTATTTCAAATATGTATTTAACCATAGCTTTGATGTTTTTTGTCGAGCCTGCGACTTTTGTCGCAAAGCGAGACATAGCGATCCTACATTCCGTCGGCGGCGTCCACAAATATTCACTCTGTGGTTAAAGTTTTTCAAATTTTAATAACTTTCTTAAACTATCCTGGATTTCTACCAAACTTGGACGGGAGCTTGTTTATGATCATAAAATAGTATCCAGAAGTAAAAATTTTGTAAAAAAAAAAAATCTTGTTTATCCGTATTTTACTCATAAATGGACTTAGTTTTTCTGCCAGTTAACATTACATTCACTCTGTGGTTAAAGTTTTTCAAATTTTAATAACTTTCTTAAACTATCCTGGATTTGTACCATACTTGGACAGAAGCTTGTTTATGATCATAAGATAGTATTCAAAAGTAAATTTTGTTAAAAAAAAAATCCTGTTTATCCTAATTTACTTATAAATGGACTTAGTTTTTCTGCCAGTTAACATTACATTCACTCTGTGGTTAAGTTTTCAAAATTTTAATAACTTTCTTAAACTATCCTGGATTTGTACCAAACTTGGACAGAAGCTTGTTTATGATCAAAAGCTAGTATCTAGAAGGAAATTTTGTAAAAAAAAATTTTCTGTTTTTCCGTATATTACTTATAAATGGACTTAGTTTTTCTTCCAGTTAACATTACATACAGTCTGCAGTTAAAGTTTTTAAAACATTTATTAGATTCATAAACCATCCAAACTTGAACAGAAGCTTCTTACATTCAAAAGATAGTATCTAGAGGAAAATTTTTAATAATTATTTCCACATTTTTGTTGAGCCTGCGACTAACAGCAAAAGTAGGCGAGACATTGTGTTCCGCGGAACCCTTACGAATTTTTACTAAACCATTGTCTCGTCAGCAATTATCAAAAATCACTTTTTTTCATACGTTTGTCATGTAAAATTTTGATAATTTCTATTGCAATCTTCAACTGTAGATTTAAAATAATCTAATATACAGAAAGCTCTGTTAATTTCTTTCTGTGGCCACCCCATGTAAAGGGCCTGTGATTTTAGTATTTTTTTATTGATTTAGGTCCTTCATATTTGTTTTTAGTAATTTGTATTATTACAAATTAAGCAGTTAGTTTTCTTGTTTGAATTGTTCCACATTTTTTATATCAGGGCCTTTTATAGCTTAATTACTATATGGTATGACTTTTTCTCATGGTTGACGACTGTATGGTGACCTATAATTGTTTATATATCTTTCTCCTTTGAGCTCTTTTGGATAGCTGGTTCATTCGCAAAAAATACCACATTTCTTAATTTAAATAAGACAGCAAACTTAAATCAATACAACTGTAATGAAAGTGAATTTATACGAAAGACTTTAATCAACAATGGCAATATGTAGACAGGAATAAAAAGTTAATATACTCATGATTCGTAGAGGTACTTAAGTTTATAACCATGTAATACATTTTAGTTGCTGCTGTGAAATTCAGCATTGAGGCAATGACATTATGGGATTTTTGGTTTTCAGCCATTCATTTGATATAATCTTTGCCTCTGTGTTGAGTTGACACATTGTTAATTACATGTATATGTCAATCTTAAAGAATCATACTGACCCAGGAACAAAGTGTGAGGTTCATACTGTAAATTCTGAAATTGAATGTCAAGGTCAGTATGATGTTTCTGCGTACAAAGTTTTGTCAATTAAAGGGCTACAGTTCAAAACGTATGCACCAAACACAAACCAGACACTGTTTAACTATCATAGGGGTCAAATGAGAAAGGTCAGTGGTATATGATACACCCCAAGCCCAAAATGCAATAGCATTTTAAGGTACAAAAGATATGACCAGACACGAATTGTACAAGGTTTTACTATCATAGGTATCCAAGAACAAAGTCAAGGTCAAATTGATCCGACTTTGGGATAAGACATGTCAAAAGACCATGATGCAAATGCCTAGTGATTTTGATAACCCAAAGTTTAAAGCACAAACTTTATGAAACGGGCGCAAATTGGATAAAGTCAACTATCATGACTATCATAATCATTTCAGATTCTATGACTTAACCTTTTCTTTGATTACTTATAATTAAATCAGAGAAAATTTAAGTATAGTGTTTTATTCATGCATCCATCTGTTTTATTAGTATGCAATGTCATAAGCAGAGATATACATGTATATAAAAAAATATTTGCTATACATATTTATAACGTAATAAGTAAAGAAACTAACAATAAACAAAATTGTGTATGGTTTTTAAGAAAGTAATTTTGCTGGATAACTTAACTCATTGTTTTAAACACTTTAAAATATATTAGGTAATAGTATAATAGTCCCAGGTAAAGCACTGTCTATATTACATGGACACATGTTATTTAATAATTTCTACAGCACTTGTCTTGGCACACTGGGTTATTCAAAGAAGTAGAAGCTGACTTGGCTGCTTTTAATACACTTGACTGTACTAAATTAAAGTTATCCCTATCCTTGTAACAATTTGTGTAGTTGTTAATCCTAACACTTATAATTAGGAGTCTGTGAACTGTCGTTTAGGCAATGTTTTTCTTCTGTAATTTGGATCCACTTAGTCCTTCTATCTGCATTGAAATGTTAAATAGCTAGTATTTCTTTGCTGAATTGAAAGTTTATAAATGTTTTTGGCATCAAAACCTTCTGATATATGTTTTGACAATTTTCTATCAAAACCGGTATTTACCTTTACTCATCCTTGGCGTGTGACTATAGACAGAAGCAATATGAATATCGAGTATTTAATTATCCTGTCACCTGTTTATTGTTCAATCAAACTATTATCACTTGTTAATTTATAGCCTTCGGCCTGGTCAAAATATAAACAGTAATGTCAATTACGTTGCTGGATAACTCTGACTAAATCAAAATCGGCCTATCACAAACTCGGACTAGAACCAACTCGGCCTACCATTAATTATATGCAGAATTATTATTGAAGAAACTCAGAGTACAATTTTTTTTTGGGAAAAATTCCCTTATAGATGGATGTCCCCAACCGGTTTATTCCTAATATTTCATTTTTTTTGTAGTCTTACCTACAAATCCTTGGTCTTAAATATTAAAGTTAATTCTCTGGCACTTCTTTTGGATCCGGAAAGGGGGGGGGGGGGGGGGTCTTCATTTCTGTATTCTTTATTTTTTATGCCATTTTTCTCCATTCTTTATATTTTAACACCTCATTTTTCTCAATTTTTTATTTTTTGGTCAATATTTCTCTTAACAAATATTCTTCATCTTTTTTGTCCATTATTCTCTATTCTATAAACGACCTCATAAACCCCTGTCAACACCCTCCTTCACTTTCCGTAATTTTGTTTGAAATATAAATAAAAATGCCTATATAGCTTTTTTCAACTCGAAACTTCTCCGGTTATTCGTGTAGGCATTTTCAACTTTTCAATGTTTTACCTGGGATAAGCCCCCTGTTATCATTTCAGCATCGAATAAAATCGAATCCTTGATTGTTTGTTTACATTGAGTGGTATTTATAGATTGTGTTTGTTGCAAGCACATGGTCGAGCCTCGTTCTCGATTTCGTTAGTAATTAGTTATATCGCGATGACGACTGGTTCCCTTTGATTAGAGAAGGGGAAAAACGTAAATAATAAAATAGGGATATCAGTAAACGGACGAAAACAAGGTCGGCGACAAATTTGTAAATTGTTCTCATAGATGCAATAAAATACCAGCTACAATTTCGCAAACGATTTCAGATGCTTCTGCACAAGTCCGATTAGGTTTAAACTAGACAGGGATTTCGGGCTACCGCTTAACGTCGAAGACTGTTTCCAATGAATTAAACGTAGAAACTGCTGTCTGGTGTAGATGTCTATTGATTTTATCTTCCGCGCAGGGCAGATCCGCAAGTAGTGTTTGTGATACCCATTTTCAAAATGAAGTTGAATTCATTTGAATTGTCGGTGAACATTCAGTCCATTTTTATTCAAGCTGTAAGCTTATCAAAATAGAAGTAACTCAAAATTTCAAAAGCATCTTCCTAGAATTAGTATTCAAACACTAGTACTACATTATCTAGGAGTCGAACACACATCCTTTAGTAAGATAGTCTGTCCAACTTCCGGTTTGAGGCCGATGCCATAAGAAAGTATATTGCTATAGCAAACTTTCCAAAAACTGCAATTTTTATACGCGTGTGCATGCAGAACAAATTTCTTGGTAGAGGGGTCTAAATACAGCACAAACAGCATTTTCCAAAAGACAAAAAAAGTGAAAAAATATATTTTAACAAAACGCATTTATAAATATATATTTATATATCCACAAACGAGTCCCTGTGGTCCCAACCTGTATAGTACGTACGCACTAATTTGGCTAAGTTGCTAATTAAACCACAATCACCAAGAAATAGGTAAAAAATATAAATGTAAATAGTAAAGGGTACTATATACGTTGTTATTATTTTTTTTAATCTATTTTCACAAAATAGTCATGTAGGATTATCTAGTTTATATTATTTTATCTATTTTCAATCATTTATTACTAGACATTCAGTTGACAAATAAGAAAAAAAAAACACTGTAGGTCTTCAACACTGAGCATATTTGATCTTTAATGCACTGATTTCTGGAATATTCACACAACAATTTATTGTCAATACAGACTTACCTCCCCTGTTCCTTCAACTGGTAGTAAAAATGGAATGTTACATCTGCTTGCAATGATTAGAGGATATTTAACAACTGTTTTTCCTTCACCAATAAATAAAGCTTTTCCGTTTGCAACATTGTCAATCAAATGATGGTTTGGTTGTCCTCTTTTTAATGTCCCATAAACAAATACACGGATCATGATTGTATCGGCAGGTTCAATATTTATTCTATGACAAAGATACGATACTACACGGTGTGTGTCAAAAGAGCTAGTGTTTATCTGTCAACGTATATTTGTTCATCCTTACAGAAGTTCACCTGGGAACTTTGTTATTATCTGTTCCTGTCTGTAGATCTTTATACAAATGTAGATAGCTTTCGATAGACACAATTTGAGCAAGAGTTACTCCTCCTTTGTCATCATGTTTTAAAGAGGTATTAATATGTGCATATAGTCCTTCATAATCAACCAACTTCAACTTGTTATACTGACCTCTACACTTAAGAAAAAAAATGTTTCAGAACAATTTTAATTTCTTTTAGCCTTCCACGATCTAGTAAGGATCTCTTGTCAGACTTGGTTATACCGCACAAGAATTCCAGTGGAAATAATATTTTGGAACTTATATTATAAAAGGAACTTCTATTCATTGGCACACCAAAATAATGTTTTCATTTCGAATAATCAATAAAATATTTCAATAAATCATATAATCGATACAGTTAATTTACATCATACAGTATTGACGTTATTATCTTTTAAATTAATTATTGACTATTTCGATACACCAGTAAGGGATGTAAATATCAAATGATGATCAATGATCGACACCTAAACTTTTTCGTCCTCAGAAAAATCTTTAACTTATTACAGATGCCGATAAAAAATCAATTAACTATGTTTACGCAGTGGCGTAAATTGACCCTTATTTCGAGTGAGACAAACGATTGGAAGCTTGTGACTTAAGGCCTTATTGCAGAATCAACTCGATGCGGCTTGGAGTTGATGGTTAAAACAAATGAAAATAACACTTTATGCATTTTGTGCTTTCGAAGCGCTCTTCTGGATTGGATTTACCGTCATCAAGAACGCTATAAAAAATTGAAGGCCAGGTGTGTTTAAATACTTGACGTGCTATATGACCAACAGACAACTAAAAAGAATAGCCGAAATCATCTAAGGTCAAATGGAAACATTCCAGGGATGGACTCGTATGTGTATACCACAGTCAACCCTTGGGATTTATTCATCAACAAAAAGTAGGTTAGACAAAATCAGTCCATGAATAAAGACAAAAACAGCGTATATTGGTTTGAGACAGAAATATTGCCCAGCACAAGGCTTCAGAATTGGTCCAATCAGATCGGAACCTCAGTTTTACTGCTATACACCAGTCCACAATTTTAGTCATATTTAAGCACGATAAAAATAGACCAACTAAACATTCATAATAATGAAAGATATCATTTTATCAGACATTTACATAAATTTCAAATATTTATTTTTGTTAACAGAATTTTCATTAAAAACACCCCCCATTCATATATTGAATTATTGTGAAATCCCTACCTATACATATATTTCACAGCGAAATCATAACTCATTCATATATTTATCAGCTCAAATGGTACCTATATGCATATGCAAATAGATCGATGTGTTACACAATAAGTGCCGAACCATCGAGCAGCAGCAGCAATACTAAAACCTCGAGTAGCAGCATCAGCATCATCAATACAGAACCCTCAAGCAGCAACAAAACCCTTCAAAAGAATTTTTGAATGCTCTCCCCATTGCACACGTATTCCTCATTATTAACTTAATAAAGTATCAGTAGTAGTCTTACTTTATTTGATAAAACAACCAACGTAAGTACAAATATCTTGTTTTAAAGGGACGAACAAACTTATACTTTGTAAAAAAGCATTGGTTCAAATAAAATGTTAGAACTGTCTTTGTATCGTAAATGTGACATAATGCTTGAATTTTTTCAATGACAACAAATTTGTAACGTTTAGTGGACGTGTTTTTTTTCAACAGAAAGTCGGTGTCCCTGTGAGAACCAACTGTGCTCCACTTCTCATTAACATGTCTCTTTATTCCTATGAGGCAGACTTCATAAATAATTCTTTCAGTTATAATATACCCATGCATCTTGCCAAAACCCTTAATCATATTAAGCTAAAAGACATAGCTGATCTTAAACTTTGATATCACCGAACATGTACAAACACATTTTTAGAGGTGATAATTATTCTGTCAGTTATTTTTTAATTAATTATGCCTTGTCTTAATTACATGACAGAATTTAAAATTTTAACCATCATATTTACATGCAGATGTTTGATTTAATGCATTGGAAAATATCAATATTTCATTATGAAATTTCCACAAATTCGGATTTTTCAGGCTATATTGAATACAGTCCCAAAAAAAAACCTGCAACTCACATGGCTTAAAAAAGAGAGAAAAACACAGCACTTGCAATTTAAAGATGAATCCCAGCTGCACAACTGTACCCAAAATCCCATGTTGAGGACCCCCCCCCCTCGTGGAATAGTGGGAAGTGGGGTTGGGAAGCGATAGGGAGTTGATAGTAAGGGTTGTGATGGTGTTTTAGGCAATATTCAACATGGAATTGACTAACAACGAAGTCGTATTCTTACGATTCTTACTTTCAAATGCTTTTTTTTTTGTAAAACAATTAATATGGTCTCAGTTGTCTGCATCTTCATCATCAGATACTGGCTTGAATCCTTTCAGCACTTCATTTAGTAAAAACATTCGTTTTTCAATGGCATATTTCCATGGTTCCATGGGCTCGTATTCTTCCTCGTCTCTTAGACGTCTTGCAGTAGCTTTGATCCTTTTGTGAACTGAATCTCTGGCCCTCTTCTTTGTTCCGAAATAATATTTAAATATCTGTTTCCAAGCTCTTGTCTGTAAGTTGTTTTTATTTTATAAGAAGCCAAATCCTTTGCGTTAAGTTTGTCATAACCGTCCAAAACTAGGTCGTCAACAATTTCTTCGTATTCCTTTTGATGAAGTTTGAATGTTTTCTGTATCAATAGTTCCCATGGGTCAGTAGTTTCTGATCTATTGTCAGTTTCTTCTGTTCCTGACTGCTATGCTGAATCTATCATGGACGCGTCTGATGCCAATTCACTAATAATTTCGGTCTCAATATATTACCTGCCATGCATCTTTACTTTATGTCGATGAAGATTGAATTGACCTTGAGTTTTATATCCACATATATCGCATGTGTACATTTTGTGTCCTATTCTATTGACATCTGAATTTACAGTGAACCAACATTTCAATGAAAGTCAAGTATATGTGAATACCGCTTAGTTTGTCTTGTTTCCATCTTTCCATTCTATTTTTTGACAAAAAACTCTTTCCTGAGCTGATTTGTATCCTCATGCTCTTACTTGATACGGTTTTTATTGTATCTCTACTACTTTATAAAGGTAGATGTTCCGACACGTTTTACACTGTCTCTCAGTTTTACAGAATTGATCTGGTATTTTTTACGATATGCCTTGCATTTTGAACAGGTTTTGCATATTGTTTTGTGATATGCCTTCTAACACTCATTTTTTTGTTCCTTGATAATGACGTCATTTCCGGTTGATGACGTCCCAATATAATGACGTCGCGAACCCCCCACAGAATCCCCACAAATACTAACTGAACTGTCCTCATTTACTAATTACGTATCTCTCTTTCTTTACCTTTCTATATTCTTTTTTTGGGGTAAACAATTTGTGAGGCAGTTTCCTTCTGCCTTAAAGGAAGCCAGCCACTGTCAGCTATAATAAGTTACCGTCTTTCTTTATTCTTTTGAAAATAAGATGTTAAACATAATATCTCCACGATTAGATAGCCTTAAAGAGATACGAAAGGGATATCCAAATTCATAAGTTGAAAACAAACTGACGATGCCATGTTAAAAAAACGAAAACGACAAAAAACAGTTCACAAAACACAACATAGAAAACTTAAGACTGAGTAACACGAAGTTAAGTAAATGTTTGAAATGTGCATATTTGAGTAAATGACTATTAATAACATAGCATACAGATTTTAGAATGTATGACACTACTTGAACTTGCAATGAAATTGAGCTCTTTGACAATAATAACGTATGTCAAAAATGAGCGTCATAAAATCTGAGAAGAAACTAAATATCTATGAACCCAATTTTACCTCTCGCAATGGCACAAAGAAAATAGTAAAAAGGCTGTACAACTGAAGTATAATTGAAATAAATGAATTTAAAAAGTTAATTATATGAGCTCAAATGTTTTGGTAAAAGCCTCCGAGGTAAACTTTACCTTGGTTTTTAATAATTCCCAATCTATATACCCTTCCGGAGCACTTGAGCACCTTTTCGTTGACAAACCCCTAATGTTATTCCACTGGTAAATTTTAAGGGGATATTCGTCGGATTGATGCACATTAAGGTTTAATGAATTCCAGCCCAATTAGTCAAAATGAAGTATGTGCAAACAATATATAGTTGAATATGAAATGGTATCGAAATTATGTTTAAACTGGACAATTTACTGAAAATTTTCATCCTAGACGACTGTTACCTATAGTGACGCTTTTTTAAAGTATATAAATGGAAACAAAAACTGAAAAAATCCTATGAACATGTATTATCATTTCTTTTCTTAGTAGGGTACTTGTCAATTTCGAATAAATCAAATTCAAAGCAAATAAATTGAAAAACTTTCTGGAAGATTTATGGCAATTTTAAATCTAAATAATGCAGTTATGTCATGTTTGGATTAAACTATTACATTTATTTACAATCCGAATAAATGCAAGCCGGCTTTTTACGCGTTTAACTTGTAAAAATTATCAATAACATGCATGGGTCTGTCGTATCCGTTGGATATTGGAAGGGTGAGTCACGCACAAATTCTTATCAGCTAGGGAGGTAATGGCTAACATAAATATATACATAAAGAAAGAAGTATAAAACATAAAGGGTAAGAAAGCCATATTTTTATGTTTAGTAGCATAAGTTCATTCCTGGTGGACGGTTGGTTCCCGAGAGTATCACTAGCCCAGTAGTTAAAACTTCGGCACTGACTTCAAGATATGGATATTGTTTTGTTGAAATTTTCTGTGTAATAATATTTTGGAAACCATTTTAAATTAGGAAATGTATATCCTTCATGCATTGCTCTGATTCCAATTCTGCTATAATTTTGACTTTTTTGGTTTTATCTGCTTTTCAACGTTTCAATTAGGGTTTACATTTTTAAGTATTTTGGCCTCCAGCATCACTGCAGAGACATACAATGTGGAAATGTGCATCTGGCGGAGTTAAATTATTACATTTAATGTTATAAACTGTAAATATTCAAATCATGTTTATTTCATT